TATGCTTACTGCTAGTTCCTTAATTTTGTTCATTGCCAAATAGGATGCAGTATGATAACTGTGTATTAGATTCCAAGGATGCACCCCATCCTCAATAAAAGGCTTTGCCTCTTTTAAAAATTCTCCTGCAAGAAGGACTACAATAGTAGTCTCATCACCGACGTCTGAATCTTGAGAATTAACAATGGCAACAAGGGTCTTAGCAGACGGATGAACAATATCGAGAAGCTTCATAATGGTGGCTCCATCATTCGAAATGGTGGTGTTCCCCTTATCATCGGGGATAAGCTTGTCCATTTCTGGAGGACCTAGGGTTGTTCTCACTGAATCAACAACAGCTGTGCAAGCATTGATATTATTGATCAGTTGTGGCTTCCCATGGGAAGTGTCTGTTCCCTCCTTCAAAAGTATGATCTGGGGTTGCATCATGGCCGCCATTGCAGAGAACATAGTGAGATTCGGCGTTCACTCTTGCTTGATGGGTTTTGAGCGACGAAAGGGAGAGAATCATAAGTGGAAGGGGTCAAAAAATTAAAATTAATCATTATTAATGCAAGGGACAAAATATTCCCAATATTAATTATAATGTGTGCAATCACATACTTCTTTTGTGTTCTCAGTGTAAAGATCATTGGTTTTTTTTCTTCTTTTTCCCCTTATTTGAATGTGTACCATATATGAAACATATATTACATGTACCATAATGTAAGTCATGTTAGTATACATGCGACGATTCTTTCATGCTTTTCCTTCGTGGCAAGATTCTTTCATGCTTCTGGCCCTTTATTGCTATGTATGGGTCTAAATGAAGCCTTTAACAACACAGTTCTTCATATATTTCCGTATACAATAATGAATAAGTTTATTTGAGAAAGCATCACTGGGAATTTTTGTAAGTTAGGCGGCTTAAGGCAACGTGCAGCGGATTAGGTCCTTGGCCCTTGCTCAATTTGGTGGAGGTTGGCCAGCTAAGAACTTCCCAATATAATTTTAGATATACCACATAGGATATTGGGGGAGACCACGAGACATGTTCATTTCCGAATATAGAAGTAACATCGGATTAGATGTTCCGCATTATCCATCCGGTAAATCAATGGTTAATTTTTCTAATAAGATTGTATTAAAAATATGTAAATGTAATATACATTCTTTACTAATTTTATAACTAAATGTTATAATAAAGTTTATAAAAAATTAAATATATTATATTAGATAAATGGATTTGTTTATCTTGTTCCTAATTTCTCTTTCTTGAAGGTATATTTGTTTAGCTTTTTGTTGAGTGGTTGAAGTTATATTCTCAATCCTAAAATTAAATATATTTTAGATTTACTCAATAGAAATTTAACGTATCTTCAAATACAAAAATAAGAAATATTAAGTTCCCATAACTATGGAAAGATTTGTTTTATATGATTTTAATAAGATTAAAATTTATAAGAAAAAAGAGTAAATAGCAATATGGAATAATTATATGAGGCAATAAACTCACATGCAAAATATCAAGGTCCCACAATAATAAGAAAGTTGGCTGGGATAACAAAAAGGGATTTGCAATGCATAAGTTTGTTAGAAGGGTTTTAAATAAAGTTTTTCATAAAACTTTTACTAAATATTATAACTTGGATTAAGCCATGGAACGGGGGCTAAATTACCAAAATGACATAATAGTTTCGAACCTTGAACACGAAATTCATTCTGGACTTAGCATGAAACTTAAATAAGTACACATGTAAATGAGATCATTTGACCACTTCAATAATTTTGTAAAGTGATTTAAATATGATTTTTTCCTTTTTTTTAATGCAATTAATTTTTTTTTAATTTTACTGATGACCATAATTTTAAACTAAAATTAAAATACGACAATAAGGTTTATGAAATGAGTAAATACCACACTTAGCATTACTCCTCTTTCAATAATAACTTATGGGATGTAAAATATGTGATCAGACGTATAGATTTGTTTAGCTTGTTATTAAGTTGTTGGAAGTTATATTCCTTGAGCTTCTTATTAAAATTGAAGTTTTGTTCTTATTCCTAAACTGTGATATATTTTCTATTTATTTACAAAGAGACCTTTTGTATGAGGGGGCCACAACTATTCCCACTCATTAGATGTCAAATTAGATGGCTTGGGTATTGGGTGAGTGTGGCGATTAAAGGCTTTATGAGTGCTTGTAATAAACGTTTTGAAATGATGGATCATGAACTTAGTAGGGGTGTGGTCATGTGAGTGCCATATTAAGTAAATGATATTTGTTGATACCAGACTGAGCCTGGCTAGCTAGGAAAGTCGGTTAGAAACAACCTATATTATCTAGGCATAGAAAACTCTCCGATAAGGGTTCTAATAAGTCATTCCTTGATGAGGTCGGAGTATATCCGAATAAGTGAGCTGAGAGACCGTGTGACCCTTTTGTGTGTTGGTGGCCTTTAAAGACGATGATCAAAGCCTCATCTGCGAACCATTACACGACATGCATATATGATAGTCATTTTGAAAAAGCGAACCACCTTTTAAGGTGAAGCTTATGCATGTGCGAGAGATACCACCACTATGGATCATAAGAGTTGTGATCGCATCATTTCTAAGTGACCTTGGTACGCCTCTAGGGGAGAACCTGAAATCCACAAACTAGCATAATGATCCTTTGGTTTATCTACCAAACTTTGGACTATGGATCATAGGAAACAGTGGGTCGGTTTGATAAAGCAAGTATAGATCGTAGTCCACAGTTGAAAGTGGAGTGTCCTAGCATTTAATTATTTAAGTCCTAGATTATATAGATCTTTTTCCCATTTAATAAATTTAATTATATTTTTTTGAATGATATATGACTTTTAGAATTATTATTTAAATTTTTCTAGATCTCTGGATATTTTATTTATCAAATTTTAATTTATAAAAACATATATATTGATTTTAAATTGATTTAAATATTCACATTGAATTTTATGAATTTTTAAAAATCATAATTTATTTTAATACGTTAATGGGCCCACCATTGCATGTGTGTAAGGGCCTATGAAGTACCCACCTAGGGTGGCATGCCCCACCCTAATGAAACTTTCCTTGTGTTAGTTCAAGCTTTGGCTTGAAAAGAAAGCTTTGAAGGGTTTTGGAAAGATTTTTTTTTGAGGAAGCTTTTAAAGGATTTAAGACTTATGCATAATTTTGGTAAGCACGAATGGAATTATTTTATTTCATTTGAGAAAGTGATTTAAGAATGGGGGATAAATGTTCTAGCTCCTTTCATGATGTTGATGGCCCATCTATGGAATGGAGGACTCAAATCTCTTACCCCACAAGTCACCCAAGATCAATGGTTCATATTCAATCTTGCAAGAAGAGGCAAGTCAAGAAAACCCTAAGAAACCCATTTAAGCACTATAAAAAGAGATGGATCCCTATCCAAATCTCGACACCTTATCTTTTACACCTAATTTCTATCTCTATCTCTCTCAAATCGCACAAAGGGGCATGCCTCACTTAAAATATCTCTTTCGAAAAAAATTTTCTCTTTCTCCCTCAAGAGACCCAAAGGGACATGCCCACTCTCTTTTCTTCGATATCTCTCTCATGGTGGTTCTCTCAACTCTTTCATGATCTCTCATCTCTCATTGGGGTTTTAGACTATAGGGTTGTGGAAGAAATTAGAAGTATCTCTATCTGAAACTAAGTTGTTAAGGGGATTCCCATATGGATTTGAAATTTGTGATAAAGGAGTTCATAGTTCCATTAGAGGTTTGGGCTAAACTTGCTTTTTTGGTTTGAGATAGAAGATTGATGATTGATCCTGTACCATCTGATGGTAGTGACTCGATGTTGGGTGTAAAACATCCTGTTGAGATAATTTCGAATACTCTCTTTTTGTCTTTTACTATATTTAATTATATACTCTTTATGTTGTCAAGCATATAATTTCCAAAATAATAATTAAGTTTTTCAAAGAGGAAGAAATGGCTTTTTTTTTCTAACGAGGCATTTGAATAATATTTGTCATAAAGCTTTACCAAGTTGGCATATTTCCTCTATTTTAAGATGAAGGATTTCATTTATACTAAGTTCCCTAAATTCTTCCTTTGAAAGATCACTTACTACACATCTTCTCAACCAGATTAGAATAGGGTGCGGTTTGTATAAGGTGTCAACCTTAACGATTCAATTAAGCTACATCTTTCAAAGCTCATGGAAAGATGTAATTTTGGTTTTTGAAAATTTCAATGATGACCTCAAAAACTACTTCACGGTTTGATTATGAAATTTGAAACTAAAAACTGGTATAGATCAAGTAGATATACAAACACATGAAAATCTTGAGAATAGACGGTATAACTAATTTATTGCAAGCTGTACTACTTTTGGCACTTGAAGATCTTTTTCTTTTCACATCTATACATCTCGATATTGATTTGATCAGTTAGATAGCTTTTCACCATCAAAATAACATTTTTTTGATAGATTTTTGAGGGATGCAATTTGTCTCCAACTTAAGATTTGCATCTTTATATAAACCTTTTCCTTTAGAATATGGCCATTTTTATAAAATTTATCTTGGAAGAACTACCTCACGGTGCACGTATTACAACGTTATACACATTCAAACAAAAACCACCCGTAATATTAGGGGTTCAACAATGTGGTACATATGTGTGTTCCATCTGGTCTCAGAGTTACCCCTTTTGTTTTTGATTCATAGCATGCTTATAATTTATTTCTTGATGAATCTCTTCTTCAGGGTACAGATTCACTGCCTTCAGGATTTGATAGGCTGAGATATCCAAGTCCGCTGCCTAGAAGTGACTCTCAACAATATTGTATGTTCTTCTACTTACCATATTTAGAGGAATTTTCTACGGTACTTATTATGGGCTCTAAAGTCTCTCGAGGTGGTTAAAGATAATCATAATGAAATGAGGGAAACAATTCTGTATTTTACACTGACTTTTCGAATTTATAATATTGCAGTTGGGGGAAGGGGTATAGGGGAAGAGATGCTTTGGTTGGGTTTGGGAATACTGTCAAGATTCGTGTGGGTCCCTTCAAGGGCTACCGTGGTCGTGTAGTAGATGTTGATGGTTGAACTGTTCGAGTTGAACTGGACTAACAGTTGAAGGTTCTTACCAGTAAGTACTTTTGTGTTATTATTGGGATTGCCTTTTGTGTGGGTTTTCTTTTATTTTTTACAAAAGGGTATGTTCTAATATGCAGTTAATAAGAATCAAATTGCTGAAATGGTTAAAATGGTTATTGCCTTTCCTATTATTGTTTGGCTAAGAAGTTTACACTGTTTTTGAACATTGGTTTTTATGTGCCTATGAGATGAACTTTTATGTGCCTATCAGGATTCATCTCAACAGTATAGTTTGGGACACGAAACCCAATGCTCCACATGACTCCGATGAGAGATGCAGGAGGTATGCATTTATTGTGGTGGTCTTAATTTTTAACGTTCATGAAATAATTCCCTATTACATCAACATTTTGGTTTTAAAGATTGATGTAAATTTAATTGATGACTTCTTCTGTACAGGGGCCGCTCCAATCCATGATGGAATGCAAACTCCCATGTGTGACCATGCATGGAATCCTTGTGCACCAATGAGCCCATAAAGGTATAATGTGAGGTCCTTTAGGCTTTTAAAGTTATGCAACCCTTCTCTTTCCCATTTTGTGTAAAAGAAAACTGTTATAATGGAAGTTTCCAGAAAAAAAAGACAGGCTTGAACTTCGAAAATTTTCCTCAGCAAACTTTCTAAAACTTAGACAAGTTGCAAGATCGATGTTCTGTATACCTAGTATCTCAGTCTGCTAAATGTTCTAGTGTAGGGTCATGTGCTATTGAGCAATAAGTATACTTGTAGGTAATTAATGAGGTTGTTGTCATGTTAATCTTTTTTTCTCATTTTCTCTGTCAACAAAGATAAGAAGATAAACTTGCTGTATTTGTATTTAAATTTCAGAGAGTCGTATCCATTAGAGAGGCGATATTTCGAACTCGTATGATCAAGAGGCGATATTAATGCATTTAGAAGTTATTTGTACTCTCCCTTCTTTTTTCTACTTAATCAGCAAAGCCCATCTCTTTGTTCCTAAACCTAATTCTTTTGCAGTGAAATTTCGGATTTATAGCCGTGGCCAGACATTAAGAAAAAGACGAGGAGGAGTATGATGGTGGACGATGAAGAAGAAGCAGAAGAGATCAAAATTGATAGATGATGTGGTTGAAGATGATTACCGCTTGAGAAAACGCAAGTTGACCTGGTTCTGAGTTGTTGGACGATATCGCAGCTATTGCAAGTGATGATGATGACGAAGAGGAAGACAAAGGAGATGCCCATAAGCTCGATTTTAGTTCTTTCTCTCTCTATTGATTCTTTTTTCTCTCTCTTTCTAATTTTCTGATGTTTCTAATTTTCTTTCTTCAGTCTAATTACTGCAAAATTATGGGGAGTGGAATTTTTATTTCAAGATGTGAATATGCTGTTGTTTCTTCTATTAAGTGGTTTTGATTATGGGGTTTCTAAGCACTCACAATGGTTAATGCCATAAAAAATCTTCTAGATTGTGGTTCATATCATTGAAAGTTTTGAAAAGAATAAAGAAAAAAAAAAAATCATATAGAGGAAAGAACAAAACAAGAAAAAATAAACATAAAAAATATAAAATAAAAAATAAATAAAAATAAAAAAATAAAAAGAAGGAAAATATCATGTTTTATATTTCATTCCCTTATTTTCTTCTTCTCACAATTCCTTCTCTTTAGTTTAGTTAATTTTTTCAATTTATTTAATTTAAATTAACACTAATTTACTTAATGTAAATTTCTTTAATTTATGTTTATGTTATGTAATGCTCTTTGTTGTAGGCATGAGTGTTAATTTAATGTTTTAATGGCCATATGCTCTAATGTACCTAGCTCTTGTAACTTGTAATCATTTTCGATGAGACTATTGAGGCTTACTTTCTTTAAAGGATTCTACTCAATAAAAAAATTTGACTCATTTATTTTCTGGGATAAGCTAACTCTCTTTGGATCATAAGTCCTCTCAACTGGTAATGAACAAAGCTAGTAAATTTTCCTAGAATGTACATTTGTTTTGAAAATATTTATATTCTTTTCTTCAATAAGATCATGGAGAATGTGGGTAGATTGTACAGTCTTTTGTGGGGAAAATGATCATACATGTTGTTCTTGATTTTATCTGGGAGTGGCTATCCTGTTGTTTGAATTTTATGAGCTTCAGACAGATTTAATCAAATCACCCTGCTATGTAGAAATGTCAAACCTATAGGCTCAACTCTGACTGTCACGTTTAAGCGTAGCCACAAGTACCGAATGTGAATCTACTTTGCTCCCTGATCTTTGAACCTCTGCTTTAATGGCAAGAGAATGATGTTCCACTCCTAGTGCTTTGATAATGTGAGAGAGTTGCGGCTTCTATTTTGATTTTTTATGGTTTGATATGAGTAGGAAAATAAATTTCTATAATTGAGATGATGAAGAACGTTTGCTCTTGAGTCTGAACGGTCATGGTGTATATATTGCTGCTCTGATATTATCAATCTCAAAGCATTCATATCAGTGCTGTGATGTACTTCATAGAGAATAATCATCGAATTACAGTTTGATTCCTAAAAATACTAGAGTTTAGTTATTTGAAGCAATTATGCATAGCCCTATTTTAGTATTTCTCAACAAATAGAAATATTTTGCATAATTATATACCTCTATTTCATGTTCATGTGAAAGATTTTCTGGATGTGGGAAATGAGTTGCAAGACGGGTGCATCGTGGACCTTTTCCACGAGAAGAAGAACAAGATTTGGAAGATCTTGAAAGGTTAATTAAAGAAAAATATGGCCCATCAAATCACTTACACAGCTTGTACAACAAGCTCTTTTGAGCTCTGTGAAGGATCCAAAGCTGTGGATGGTCAAATGTGCAGGAAAGAAAACAAATGTCGAAGAGGAGACTACACAGCAATAAGCTCTTTTGCCCTCAGTGAAAGATCCAAAGCTGTGGATGGTCAAATGCGCAGTGTATTGAGCCAGTGCGGGAGAGGAAAAGCGGGAGAGCGCGGTATGTGCAGGAGAATGTTGAGCCATCCATTCCATAGATGGGCCATCAACATTATAAAAGGTGCATGGATCATTATCATCATTTTCTTAAACCATTTTCCCATCAATATATTTAAATAAATTAAATCTATCATAGATATAGTGCATACCATAAAATTGCATATTCCATCTCATATTTTCCATAAGAATATTTCAAAAATATCAGGTCAAGATATTCCTTCAATAATCAAGATAAGATATAGTCAAAAATTTTTAATCAATATTTGACCATATACTACAAGATAGAGTTACCAAATTCCATAAACTTGTACTCAAAGTAATCAGGAAGAGGCATCCAAGGGTGGGGCGTGCCACCCATATGAGGCACGTGGGGCCCCACCTAATACCCACATGGTGGGCCCATGTGCACTATATTTTTTATAAATATTTTAAACTTGAACAAAATGAATTTTAAAACATTATAACTTTGTAAATTAATAACTTCATTTTTATAAGTCTAAAAATAATAAATAAAATATCAAATGACTTATAAAAATTCAAATAATAAATCTAAAATAATTTAATAATAAAATGAACACAATTAAATTAATATGATGGGAAAATGATCCATATGGTTTTAGGAATTCAATCTGTAATTATGGGGCATTCCACCTTCAATTGTGGACTACAGACCACTCTAGCTTTATCGAACTGAAAAAATGTTTTCCATGACCCACAGTCCAAACAGGAGCTCATTAGCGAGTCACCAAAGTGTTTCTCATGACCCACAGTCCAAGCAGGAGCTCATTAGCGGATAACCAAAGTGAGTCAAGGGGGTCGCAATCCCAGTCTGTGGATTATAGGTCCTCCCCTAGAGATGAGCCAATGTCACTATGATCTGATGCGACTACAGCTCTATGGTGCATAGAGGTATCTCTCGTACATGCATACGCTTCACCCAAAGGTGGATATCTGGCTTTCTTGAATGATCTATCGATATGTATGCTGTGTGATGGAACATGGATGAGATTTTGGCCCCCGTCTCAGTAGGCCTACAATCACACACAAGGGTCACATAGTCTCTCGGCTCACTCATCTAGGCATAAGCTCCGACCTCATCAAGGGCTAACCCAAAACCCTCCTTGGTTAATTCTTTATGCTCAGGTACCTTGGGTTTTCTAACCGACTAGCCTAGATTGATAAGAACATTCTGGTATAGACAAACATCATTCGCTTAGTATGATCATCGAGGGATCGCACTCCCACTGAGTTTATATTTCACTATAATAAAAGTCTTTCAATACACACTCATAAGGCCTTTAATGGTAAGAAGATAAACTTAATGCATTTGGATTTAAATTTCAGTATCGTCCTAGACCTTGCACATTAAGCCAGTAAAACACACTAATTATGAACAAATGATAAACTTTCATTTAAGAATAAGGAAAGTGGGCCAAGCTCGCTTTTGCACCAAGGTTCCCCCCGTCTAGTTCACAATATGTTATGCTTTTGTTTACATGATTGGGATAATTGCTTCTTTCCTATTAAATCTCAGGTTTGTGATCCGATTGATTCTATTGTGTACAATTCATGGATTCAGCATTCAATCTCATGTAAGCATCATTCTCGGATCGCTAGGTCGCTGAGTCAGATATGCCTTGAATCATGAAGCATGCCACAGTTTAAAGTGGATCTATGTAACCTGGCATTTATGTTCTCTCTCAGCTGAGACATTGTGTATTCCCTTCATATCAATATATAAATCGGAATTTTATTTCAATGATATACCATTAGTTTATAAACAATTACAAATCATATAAGTAGGACAGTAATACAGTTTGAATCAATTAATGGATGAAACTAAGAAAAGCTAAGGGGCAAGGAGCTTTCAAAGGGTTTCCTAATCTTTCTCGCAAAGATGAGCAGTTGTCTGGTTTTCAAGCCAACCTAGATTTTAGGCGAGAGGGAGAGATTCATGTTTTATCTATATGAGGTTGCCCTAACAATGAAACTGAGGGACACCTCAAAAATTCACTTGATGATGTTATTTCGATACTGAAACCCCAAAGCCTATCATCTCAATACATTGATGCAAGAAAAGAAAAGAAACAACAAGGAATTAAAAAAAAGCATTAAGTCTTGAAAATAGTGCATTTTGTAATGCATTATATTAACTGTTAATTTTCAAGATTTTCAAATGTTCATAGATGTACATGATCTACACTCTTTTTTAAGCTTTAAATTTTTAAATTAAAGATAAAAATAAATTTCTAGCCATTTCAAAGATTTTTGACGCTTAAATGATATCTTTTGATACTATTTGTAGTTGTGCCTTTGATGGTTTAGGGCCTCAGCCGTATACAAACCACACCGTTTATCCAAATGTGTTTTCTTGCCACGGTCCTTACCATTTATGTTCCAGGAAATATCCAATACTCGATTATGCCTTGCAAGCACCACTAGGCACACAAACAAAGGTTGAGCCATCTCCATTAATGGAGTGAAGATGAGCCACTCTCTGTCTACTAGGCTTACTCTTGATATATAAATTCCAGGATCCTCGGTTATTACTTGCAAGCACAACTAGACACACAAACAAAGGTTGAGTCATCTCCATTAATGGAGTGAAGATGAGCCACTCTCTGTATACTATGCTTACTCTTGTAACATAAATTCCAGGATACTCGGTTATGACTTGCAAGCACACACAAACAAAGGTTGAGCCATCTCCAGTAATGGATTGAAGATGAGCCACTCTCTTTCTACTATGCTTACTCTTGAAATATAAATTCCGGCAAAATAATGTGGCTTGCCTCCACCATTCATTGATAACATGAATGCTGCAGGGTGATTATATGTATACCATTAGGTGTTTTGTATAAAGTGGTTAGGGCTTTGGCTACATGAGTTAACAAACCCAGGTTTATATGTCAAACGTTGATTATGTTAAACATGGTTTAGGACGTATTGGGATGATTTTGAATGGTACCTAGGTTGTACAAATCTCATTTTGGATCATCTTTTCGTAAAACCCGGTTTGTTATTAGGGGTTGTTTGCTATATGGCTTTGAATGGTACCCATGTTATTCAAATGTCACGTTTGGATCATATTTTTATATAACCTGGTTTGATATTGGGAATCGTTTGGTATGCGTGAAAGTTTTACAGGAAAATATTTATATGTAAAATATTTACATATACAAACAATGAGTAAGGATCCTATGAGATCCTCCCACATTCATATGTGTAGGATCCCAAATGATCACCATTAAATTTGGCACATATCTCTAAAAAAGTTAGTCCTTCGGGGTACTACACACATAGGTGTGGGAGGGTCTCATAAGATCATTATTCGCAAACATTTTATATGAAAAGATTATTT